GTTTGAGTTGGCTTAATATCAATGACTTCAGAACGAGGAATCCATCCAAGTCTTGAGTCTTTATCTTCACTTTCTTGAATCAACTTTTTAAGTGCTGGATTATACATGTTCTTGACCCCTGGAACTGACGACATTCAAGTGAGAGAATGTTTCAACTCTTTATTGTGTTACAACAGCACGTTACATATTATTTCCCATGTCCCACCATACAATTGACAATTATATTCACCCGTTCAGCGGGCGTGCACAACACAGCACTAATCAATTTATAGACCGACTATCTGATTGCTAGCTTTGCATAAACGAGTTACACAAACCACAAACTACCTTTTCAGCAATGTGTATTCATTTTTCATGATAACTAGATCGAAATTATGTGGGGACTTCGCCCCTAGAAGCAGTTGTTAATGTGTTTGTGAGGGTTGGTGTCAGTTAACATCAATAATTATGTACGTAACATTATTAAGTTATGCATATTAATATGTCGATATTATATTTGTGAGCGTGATGTAATATTATCATTATTAACAACAATAATAACAATATTAATACGTAATGTATGCTAGAAAAGTTACCACCCCTTGTAGTTTTAGTCTAGACAATTGATATTTTTTACTAATATGATATTACTTTTAAACACTAACTGTTCTAGTTGTAATTGACTCTATTAACTTAGTTAACCCAATTTGTTAAATAAAGGTCTAACATCATGGAATTCTACGTTATAATTATTACTTCCAATTTCCTAAGGGTAAGTTTAGTTTTGTCAACGATAGACTTGCAATTGGGTATTTGAGCGTAGTTGTCGTTCTTTAGGTTTTATTTACCTTTTGATTTCTATAGTGGATACGGAATCTGTATCGTGTTGCTTTGTTGACGTTGATGTTTCATTTACCTTTTGATTTTTGGTCACTTTCTATAGTAGATACGGAATCTGTATCGCGTTGCTTTGTTGACAGTAGTGAGAGTGGTTTGGTTATCAGTTTCGATGGATATTTTTTTGTGGTAAAGGGGGAGTTGGCGTTTTTAGTTATTATTATCGGAAAGGAAAAGTATTGAACGGAATGAGTCATAGCGGTGGCGGAGTTTATTGCTGTGTAACACAATATAATGGAAATTCGACATGCGAGCTTAATATGCAGATATAAATAACAAATCTTTTGGAAGATATGAGTCATCGGCTTTATCGTATATATTAATATGTATATTATATGGTAATTTCCTGTATTGGGTATGCTTTATTAATCACTTAGGAAATTTGTAGTATATTGCAATTTTTGCTGAGTTGCGTAAATTAATAGTAAGATTTATTTGAAAAGATGGTTAAGTAGTGTCATTATTTCTGACTACCCATTTTGCAGATTGCGAGTATAATAAGCGTAAAACAGTAACAACAGGAAACGCATTGGAAATTGAGCGTAATCCTCTTCATAAAGCAAGCGTAAGACTTTTTGTAGTTCATCGGAAGGACACCAATATGTGGTGTTTAAAGAATCGTAAGTCTGGAAAAGTGGTATTTCAGATAATAGAATGTGAGGTAAAGATGACACAAATCGATGGTCATTATAGACCATGAATTAGTAACGTTATAAAAGACCATTTCGTTTTTTTGAAGAGAATCGATGGTAAATATATTGAGCATTATTTTCTTTTAAACTGATAATAGATTATTGTATCGTACCGGTGTGTTATTATTTGCAAAAATGATGGAATATACAGTATATATATATACAGGTTTTACTCATGTGAGTCATATCCGTCTTATTTCACACGATTAATTTTAAATGAGGACTGTGCGACGAAGACATGCGGGAATTTATGACGGCGGTGATGATAGAAAATGACTGATTATGACTATGTACAAAATAAGATGTCGAAATAAAAGTAAGAAACGAAATAAGATGAGGATAAAATGTATAAATATACTCCTTCAAGATTGGGTGGTGGGTGGTGTCAAGTATATAGATATAAAGTCCCCCGAAAGATGGGTATTTGTTGGTTAATGCGAAAATAATTTAGGAAGTAAAGAACATGAAGAACGAATAATTATCAAGAATATGTCAAAAACAGTAAGTTTATGCAGCAAATGTTGGCGATGGAAATGTACTTTATGTTAACAAGATTACTAGAAACAGCTATTACGGAAATTTTTCTAGCTGCCGTGTATATCCGACAAGCCAAGTGAGTCATGTAATAAATCTACAAAAACTCTTAATCAAAATTAATTACATAAGCGTGTAAGTGTTTCGATTTACAAACTTGTAATTAATTTAGCAATTTATTCGTTTTTGAGATATCAAACGGTGCGCATTTATTTTCGATGTTTCTTTTTCCGTCAGAAAAAAAATATAAGAAGCTAAAAAATCTCATTGTCAAAACGTGTTTGTTGATACGCATTTTTATACTGTTTGTTCAGTAAACAGTGTTAAAGGCGATATTCGTATATCGACCCGCAATGACATGAAACTGATGGATACAAACTCTATGATTATTAGCCCACCCCTGTTATAAATCTGTTTCTTTATACCTATTTAACACACTAATATGAGATCCGAATCTTACATGGTTACGCTGATTCTTGCAACGATTGGTTACAAGTAAAGTCAGTTCATGATATTAACCATGTCAATTGTCTTATACTTAGTGACTCAAGATTTTGACAATTTACGGCAGCCAGTTTATTTCTGTATGATATATCCATACAGGACGAAAACGGGGATTTAATTTTACTAGTTTAATCGCTTTTTGAAAATAATAATACAAGTTACAAAATGTCCATTACATAACCATCCATATTCTAAATCTGCCAGGCAAAAGTGAACGTAGACAGCATGTTTTGTTAGATGTTCTAATAAATATTATCTCAACGTGCATAACAATAAGGCAAGAAAGAAAGCTTAATTGAGTAGTTACAACAGCGATTATGACCGATGAAGAGATTGGGCTGAATACCTTCCATAGAATTTTTTTTGCCAGCAAATAATGGGTATTTCCTCACAAATTATTCCTGATTCACTTTGGCAGTCAGGTGAATTTGGTACTATATTAACATTAATGAACGTACGATAAATGACCTCATCATGCCATGGATGCACACGGATTGGTTAGATCCAGCAATAAATAAATTGATAAAAGTGACACTCAAGCAGATCAAATTCTTTCACATGTAAAAATAATGCAATTGGTATTTAACATTGATTATTTTATTGATTGTATTGTTTACTCAAATAGCTGAGTCTGGAATACCCAAAGATTTTAACTCCTGATAATGTTTGGATGGTTGAATTACTCAAGAACCACCCACTCGGAGTTATTATTTAGTTTTCTACTATGACACACATATTGTATTGGACAGGATTATACAACTTTACTAATATGAATATGCTCCTATTAATATTAAGTACATGTGATACAGTGACTTTTACGAACTCAAAAGATCGGAACTAGCGGCTACGAAACAGTTTACACCGCCAATTATAGAGGAGAAATTATGCCACAAATTGTTGTGTTAAAAGCAATATAATAATAAGAATTTTGATCAGACGTCAGAATTATTTGTTTCAGAGGTAATTAATAATTGATAGTATTAATTGAATTACTGTTTAATTTGACGGTTGTACTTATTTTTATTAATCTTTAATAGTTCAAAAATTATGTCAAGTACTCATGTAATAGTAATTTTCATTCCTTGATATTTATGGAGTGACACAAGACCCAGAAACACAAGAGTACATGATTGTTATGCAATATGCTAACAATGGTAGTCTCTTGTCTATTTGGATCAAAATAGACGTAGTTGGATAAATTACGGCATTTGAGGGTTATTGCAAGTTATCTGGATAATATTCATAGAGCGGGTTTAGTACATTGTGATCTTCATGTCACACATGACAATACGCATGAGACAAAGTCATTTATATGCGATTTTGGTCTTTCACAATCAGTGAAGTCATGTGGGTCAAATTCAATTATTCGAGGCGTTTTGCCCTTTATAGCACCAAAAGTCTTCCATACTTAATTTACCCAGAAATCAGATATGTATTCTTTTGGTATCATTATGTATTTGATGGCAACTGGCGAACCCCCGTTTAAAGATAGGGCAGTTTAATAGAGACCAGCATGCGATATTATTGGTGGACTACGACCATCGATGCCTGACTCCGCACCAGAGGACTACAAGAAATTTGCCGAGCGGTGTTGTGATGCTGATCCTGATAAGCGTCCACATGCATTGACACTTTACAGGGATATTCGCGAGCTTATCACAACAACACGTGTTATTCCGTCTATCATAATGACGTAAAGCCCTTATCACGTCTCGAGAAGGAGAGTAAATGTTCTAGTATGCTCTTACCTACTGGAAATTTGCCCAAACTAAAACCGAGGAAATGTCAATTGAGTTTCAGGTATGACAGCAGCAATCAGTTATGTGTTGATATTATTAACGATATTTAACATTGCCCATTGTTTTATGATTAGTAACTCAACCACTCACGAGTTTATTCAAGAGTTTACCCGAACAGTAATGAATAATTAAATTGAGTACATGATGGTCAAATTTTATAAATGCCAATTTCATTCATCTAGGAAACATTCCGCGTACAAAAAAGCTTGGTCAAGTTGACCCCCAGAGACCTCAGATATGCGTTGGTCAATCGGGTCAATGGTGCTTTTGTTCGTACACGTACATTGACGACCGTTATAAGAAGTAACGACGGTTGAACCAAAGTTTCTTCTTTTTTCCCTGGAATCTGCAGAGCTAACTAGATTTCTTTAAAGTCACGAATAAAAAAGCCGATTATTCGTTTGACAACCAATTAAATAGCATTTATCCAGCGTCAAGTTACATGAAATTTCATTGGACCATTCACTATGTATGCAGGTTAGATTTACCAAAAAATTAACATCAACGGTTAGTTGATGTAACACATAAAATTTGACCCCGTGCACCCTTCAGGGTCAGTACTTCTCTTAACGCGCGTTCTCACATATTAAACGTAATGTCACCTGCACCTGAGCTGTCGGAGCTTCACAAACAAGGATCAAGTGAAAGTGACGACAACGACTTGTCCGACTTGGGAGAGATAGATCTCGGCCAAGACAGTGAGTTATATTCTATTATTACTCGCTTGTGTAATATGTATTACGTGTCTTAGTTCGAATAAAGATCAACATTGTCCATTTGTAGAGATCGTACGGCGGGTAGACAGAAACTTTGGCGAGGCACTAAGGGCAGTCTCGCGTAGATATAGGAGACGTAAGAATGTATGCTTTCTAAACTGCATCATTGTTCTGTGGCACCTATCGCGTGCAAGCTATTCAGGTTTTGAGCGTTAACGTTTCTTCCAGGATCGCCGTAATGAAGAAGCTCGACGACTATATTCTCTAATGATATCTGCAGCAGACCAAGATATTGTACTTAACAATCAAAAGAAACCAGCAGTAAAGAAACTCGAGCACGTTGACGATGTGACATGGCTTCTCAAGAAGGCAAACATGCTAGAGCCTCTACTAGAAAACAATATATTGGAATCAATAAGAACGTGGTTAGAACCCTTGCCTGATGCATCGCTTCCTAACATAGCTATCCAGAAGGGTCTATTTGAAGTTCTAGAGAGGGTATCTATGATTAATATTTGTTTGTTGGTCAACATAATGCGGAATTATCTTTGATGTTATGTATACTTACCGACGTGTATATCGTCAGGTCCCCATGTCTATTGAACTCTTACGACGATCGGGAATTGGTAGAATAGTGCATTTTTATGAAGAGCATCCCCGCAACGATGCGGATATAACGAAACGGGCAGCTAAATTAGTTGTTAAATGGAGCGCGCCAATATTCGGTAAGAGCCTCGATTATAAAGACAAGAGGATCGTATATTATGAACCGGATAGTGGAGAGTTTCCATGTCTGGATGGCATTCGCGGAGGTGTCACGTTTGCACCTTCTTCTAACGGAATGCTTTGTAAGAGGAGAGGATATGATCCATACAGGAACCTGAAAAGCCGTATGGCACAGATGAAGAAGGGCATCAATGTTAAATAATCAGCATAAAGAAAAAGCGAAAAAGAAAAAAAATACTGGAAAAAAATTTCAAAACAAAAAAAAAAAAAAAAACATAAGGGAGTATGAAGTGACGAGATGCGAATCTATTGAATAAATGTAAGAGTTTACGTGAGCTTTGATTTGTTGTTTAGTATCGTCATTTCATTCTCTTTTGATTCACGGCCAATTTCTTTTTTCTTACCATGTTTCTGCAATTTGGTATTAAAATGTCAACTTGTTCTTTTCAATCCCGCGCTTCAAGTCTTTAAACTGCTTGATACGACAAGTTATTATCGACCTTCGACGTTCTAGCTTGTTCGCAGGCTACTTCCGCTACGACTGTTGGATTACAAATCCAACGTTTCTTGACAGTCTCAACGGTCGGATAGTTTCAGCGTAGTAAGTTGGCATGTACGTTTTCAACTAGCGAATGTTTTAAGTGATACCTTTCCGAGAGCCCAATAGTTTGATTGTATTGGAAAGACGCAAACATGTTTACTTTAGAGATGTTTTACGGAAAACCATTGGCTTGAAAATGGTTACAATATTAACCGTTCTAACTAAACATGGCAATTAATATTTACACTATCGATCATTACAGATGACAAAACGAATTTGGTTTTCAAGATAAACCATCTATTATAGAAGCAGCCTCACCGTAGAAAGAGACGCGGTTTCTTAGTTATCAATTGGATAATGGAAGAATTACCATCTTTTATTATTTAATCAAGCGGAACTTAATCTCAGACACACATCCACAGTTTACTGTCACTCGCGTGTAAAGTAAAAACCGATTAGATTTATTGTACTGGCATGCGTGAATATTATTACAACTTGCTAGTTGGGGTTGAGTCCTTGTGGTACAGAAAATAACATGGATGTTACACTCGCCGTGTAGACGATCCTCATTACATACATCCTTCAGATGCCCTGATCCGGCGCGCCAGGAGGCTATGAGTGTGATAATCCATTCTAACAACCATCCAAAGAATCAGTTCAAAATATGCAGATGATTGTATCACGCTTCAAGGAGTATCGTTACTCTAAGTGGCAGATAAGATTGGTTGATCGAATATAAATGTCTTTTTTGAATATTGGTAGTGAGAGGATTGCGCTTATCATTATGGGCTCTCAAGTTACAATTGAAAGTTGCGAGGATCAAAACGCACTGCTCTTTCCCATTATGCATCAAGTGCTTATGGCTCACACTTGTTTCTACTGGAATCATTAATGCACCGTCACAAATTGGGTCACGTACATAAAATTACATCATATTCCGGTCGAAAGAAATTCTAATACCAAGTTGGTTCATCCATGAATTTTTTCACATAAAAATATACAGATTTTTAATACAGGTCTATTGACAGATCTTAGTCGCTTTCACCGAAATAATATTGAGTTGACTTTGCCCGTCCGCTCTTCCGTGTCTGAGTGGGTTTAGGCTCTAAACTTTCGTCAACGGACGCGGCAAATACTGTGGATGAAGTAGACGCGGCGGCCTTTTTCGTAGTACGCTTTTTATACGGAATGTATTCTTCATCGGACGAAACAGCCTAAATATTACGGTTTCAAGCATAGTCCGTCAGTTACCAAATGCTGGCAGTCAAATAGGCGGTACAAGCTTTAGCCCACTTACCCTTGGACAGAAATCATCGTCAGAGTCGGACAAAAGAATCACTTTAGATGGTTTTTTCTTAGGAGGAATCACTTCTTTAGTGGGTGTTGGTTTTTTCTTAGGAGCCACTTCTTTAGCAGGTGCAGATTTCTTAGGAGCCACTTCTTTAGCAGATGCAGATTTCTTAGGAGGAGCGCGCTTTGTTGATGAGGACTTTGTAGGCTTCTTACTCTTGTTACTTGAAGAATTTTCCACTTTGGCACACATCTCTTTCCAGGCAACCATAAAGTCTTCCAGGTCTTCTTTCCATAAATCTTGCGGCGATTTGCTCCTTAAAATGTCGAGCTCGTTTTGTTTGCCGTCTCGATCTTTCTTCAATTGTTCGACCTGTATTAAGATGAACGAATTGTAGGTAATGAATGTAATTGTACTGATCCACTATCAATACATAAAGACTGATCATTTCTCATACCTTCTCCCATGTTAAATGCCAAAGAGACATATTCAGCAAATAACCGAAACCATCCGCATTGTTGGCAGTTTCAGACGAATTGTCTTCATCGGACGCGTTGACATCCTTATAGCCACGTTCCTTGAGTGTATGAATTATAACGTTTCTCTTGCGGTTCTGGATTATTAATTTCCCTTCAATGATTTCCGTAACAAATCGTACTTTGTTCTCAAGTTGTTCACAAGCTTTACGCATCTCGGACACAAGCCATTCCTAAATATGCGCAATTTAATGCGTTAAGAAAAATGACCTTATAAGAAATTTCCAATGATAGTAATATTCCTACTGACCTTGCGCTTCTCATAATAGTCCAATCGCAACTGATAGAAATCATCCATAATTTGGTTAATAGTATCGTATTTTTTGATTTTCAATTTTGAATCAAACAGGACCATATTTGTGGTCTTGAACGATTTTGTCAATTTGAATTTACTTTCCAGGCCTTCCTCCACGACTTTGTCCATATTCTCCTCTGTCAAAGTCACAACGAAATGAACAGACGTATCTGTATGATATTCCTTATAATCCTGTTCGAAATAAAGTCGTAAGTTTCATATAGATAGCACGAGGATAGCCAACAGAAAGTATTCTTACTTTGATAAATGGATCCTTTTTCCCTTTTTCCCCCGTCATAAATTCCTCGAGCTGTTCCTTGTAATTCTGAGTCCATACACCGATGGGTAATTCTGTAATTTCGAGAGTGGTGCTGTCAATCTGTTCTATAATTCCCGTTACTTTGTATGAACCTTCAGATTCTTCAATAATCTCGCCCTAAGTCGAACAAGTAATTGAAATTATGTTAAAACATGCACAAGAAAGATGCGATAATGACACGCTGCGCGCGTAACATCAAACATACTTTGAACCCATTGTACCAGGGATGCATTTTTTCATATTCCTCTCCCCGCATTCTGCGCAATAAATTATTTACAATGTCTTCAGGATTATAATTAGGCAATTTACAACTCCATCCAGTTCCAATTCCCTCAGCTCCGTTGACGAGAACCATTGGCAATATAGGGAGATACCTAGAAATAAAAAGAAAAGCCTTGTCAACAGTTGCTCGTACCAAAGATGTAAAATTGCGCGCAGAATGCGGGGAGAGGAATATGAAAAAATGCATCCCTGGTACAATGGGTTCAAAGTATGT